ACAGGTGAAACACATAGTATAAGTACCTAGCTTAACTTTGAGTCCCAAGGAACGCATGATACGTTCATGGCTTCCTACCTAAAAGCCCAATGAACGCATGATGCGCCGATTTTATGACTTTATTTACTACCCCCTGGGCCTGTGATGCTAAACCCCCTGGGACTCAAAGAGTTAACAAATGTTTGAAGAGGACACGCCACCGTGCAGATGGGAAATAAAACAAATAACCATCAGACAAAATAGACAGACGGGGGAAACAATGAACCAACATCACATAAACAGACATCCAGCTGGAGCAAAACAGACAGACACTCAGACAAAGGAAGGGGTCGATATCCGCATGGATGGACAGGAGGATGGGTCCATGTTTGTGTGGGTGAGGGCAGGTATTTGGATGGATGGACAGACAGTTCTCCGTTTTCCTCCACTTCTATCAGCATCATTCTCTCAGTGTTGACGATAACGCAATTGCAGAAAACAGTAAAGTGCCCAAGAAGCCATTAGCGGCCCCACAAAAAGAAATCACATTGGCACAGAGACAAGATCATGAAGTTCCCGAGGTGTTCTTTTCCATAAACTGTTGGCGCGAAGACATCACGCCTGCCTCAGAAACGCTTGTTTTTAGGGAGAATTCAATTTGATTGGCAGGTTTAAACGGCAGCGAGAACTGTCTTTAATTAGGGATTTAAAATAAAATCCTAGATGCCAGAAATAATCTATTGCCATTTTGTTATTTCATTATTGCGGTTTTGATGAAGAGAGAAAACACGAGAGAGAGAGAGAGAGAGAGAGAGAGAGAGAGAGAGAGAGAGAGAGAGAGAGAGAAGAAGAAGAAGAAGAAGAAGAAGAAGAAGAAGAAGAAGAAGAAGAAGAAGAAGAAGAAGAAGAAGAAAGGACGATAGAAAGATGAAAGAGTACATGAAAACCATAGGAAAAGAAGCAACTATGTTTTTAATAGGTTCGTTTATATATAGATACATGCCCGGCTCTCTAGCGTAGTTGGCTAAACCGGATTGCGCGGTGACCGGGTGACGAACTCCTTGTGGTCCGTGTTCACTCCCGGAGTAAGGCAGAAAAGCCACATTTCTCCCAGATTTACGGTATTTACAATGGAATCAAGGAAGAAAGGTTGCGATATCCATAATACCGAGCCTAATGGTTAACAACTCATGGCTTCTGGATACTAAAACAAACAAACAATATATAGATACATATACATATATTTATGTGTGTTGGTGTAAAGGTGGTAAAAGGCTAGTACATGCTAGTACTTAACTAACGGTCGTCTTCTTGTTAAGTTCATGCGTTGTGGCGTTGGTAGCAATGTCCCTCCACATTCTGTCTCGTATACTGTGAGCTAAACTAGATGGCTAGGACAAATGAGCAAAGCTGCAGGAAATGCGGAAGCTGCTGCTCGTGAGTCCCAGCCATCAATTTTAGCCTCAATCCACAATCTTTTATGCATTTTACTTTTAAAACAGTGCACCGCCCAAATCGAACTATAGTACCAGTGATCTTGAAACTGTTAAACGCATTCACTAACGTCTAATCCACTAATACGCACTGCAGTTAGTACTGCTCGCCAAGTTTTTTTATATCGTAGGAAGGTGACCTTTAACCTGGCTGACAACAATATATTGACTGACATTTGTGTCGGATGCTAAGCAACAATAACAACGCACAATGAAATCTATTTTCAGCGTCATCTCGTCAGTTAGTTCCCTGATGGCCTGTGAAGTTTTTTTTTTTCCTCCTTCATCTGAGATGTTTTGCGTAATTGTCTTTCTCGGCTCTTTGATTAAATGGGCGAGGGAGTGGGGGCGCAGATACGGGGATTGTTTGATGTTTGCTCATTGGATGGATCTTGTTAACTACATTACATCTAAAAGCTGTCCGTTATCGTCATTACATCTAAAAGCTGTCCGTTATTGTCATTACATCTAAAAGCTGTCTGTTATCGTCATCTGTCCTGTCTTTACTGCCTCTATTTTACCACTTTTGCTTGGGGGAGGGGAGGAGTGTCGGGGGGACCCAGCCCTCATGGGACTGGCCATGAGTTTGAGTTCGACACCACGTATTAAAATTATCAAGAATGTAGATTCTGTCAAATTTAGAAATTGCTTTCACTGCGAATCCAGTTCCTCATTAAAAAGTGCCATTTGCATCTTCCGTTGACGTTAGAGTGGGTGCGTATGCAGTAGCAAAGGTGATAAAACCGCTTGAGATAGACAATCGTTGGGATAATAGTCTGTCATTTCCTTAGTTTGTTTCCGAGACCAATGAGGGCCAAGTATGAAGTTCTGTCCACTCCATAGCAAAGAGCCTGGGCAGTATTGTAGAGACAATGTGTTGCCTGTGTATCACGATCTCTATCTACCTCTCTCCCCCCCCTCTCTCTCTCTCTCTCTCTCTCTCTCTCTCTCTCTCTCTCTCTCTCTCTCTCTCTGCGAGTGTAGATATGTGTGTGTGTACCTTGTTTACTCCAAATTAAAGAACGTTTGGAACAAATCAGGATGCACAAGCTGTCAGATCAGAAGAGCATTGCTCTGTTTGTCCAGATGTCGGAGCTTCTTTCCTAGACCAGCTGTCAGTCAAGGCCTGGCCTAGCCTGCCATAACATTCTTTTTCTGGTTGCATTTCCTCGTCCTAAGATAAGGTTAATATTTTACCCAATGTGCTCCTGCGTCGGACACCGTTGGCATAGTGTGCGATGTCAGGTTTCGTATACGCCGATTTATAGTTCAGTCGGCAATAAAAATGATTAATATCATACTGGTCGACTTTACTTTCCATGACTTTTTTGGGTGCCCATTCTAGAACAAGTCGACCTGAGAGTTTGATAGGGATTCGAACTCATGACCACTGAACCGGCAGGCAAACGTGCTAGCTAACCAGCTCTCGTAGCTCCCTGGCCATCAGTAGTATTGCATTTCGTTCTGGCAATTGTCCCTACCTTGTGTACAAACTTTCCCGCTCACCCAGTCCTCGTACACACAAGCGCACGTACGCACGCACCCACACAGGCGCACGCACACTTACTCACCCACACAGATGCACACGTATACAGCCCCACCCACACAAACACACACACCCACGCACACACACACACACACAGAGGAAGTGAGGACATGAGGATAACAATCTGTCAAATATTAGCTCATCAGCTGGGGACTTTCAGGTCCGATTTTCCCAGAGATAGAATCAGTTCTCTCCCCTGTTCCCATACAACGGCACAATGCACTCAATATTCCCTTGTGTTTGATAGGGACACAAGCAGTCACTGGATAAATGGTGCCGTATATACAGACCACACATACTCACTCTGTCACTCACTCACTCACTCTGTCACTCACTCACTCACATTCAGAGAACGACCGGATTGATGCATCGGCATGAATCGTCGCGGTCTGCCCCTCCCACCTCCCCCCAGAGGGTAAGAAAAGAATGCACCGTTATCTCATTTGTGATCGATTGCAGGAAAGTAGCTAGACGCATGCCTATTGGTCAGAATGTGTTGGGTTAGCATAAAAACGTTTTTTTTTAACAATACGACCTTTGCCGCCAGTTGTACTTTGTCTATAATGGGGTACGAGAACATGACCTGAGAAACAAAGGAGATAGATGGGATGTTGGCAACATCAACCACGGAGTGCCGATTCGTCTATGAAAATGTGGGTCCACAACCATATGCCAGACTGGGCAATGGCGTGAACAGTCTCCGTTACTGACTTGACTTATATGTATCAGCTAGGACATAATCATAAAGACCCAGTCAAGACCTCGCATGAATGAAACAGACAATAATATTTAGACTCAAATGAAACAGACAATTATTTTTAGACTCAAAGCAATTGTCCCCGCGTGAACCTGAACAAAAAAGACACCAACAATAGATTGCACAATTTTTTGCCTGTCCTTTGTCGCTGTATCTCGTCAGGTGCATACCACAGAAACAACTGAATTAAAATGAAGCAAATAAATGAAAATTTTGAACTAAAACACAAAATGTGAATGTAGTAGTAGATTTTCCATTTCAGTTACAGGGATTTATTTATTTGCTTTTTTTTTAAATTCAGTAATTTCTGTAGTATGCACCTGAAGAGATACAGCGAAATATCGCAGGCAATATATTTGGACGGTGTGCTGGGCACAACAGACTCTGCAACCATGAATACAGGAAACTCAAGGTTGGGGAGGGACTATAGAATCCTGTCCATGAAGACGAGCACTACAGAATGCTCAACCTGTGCTGCAGACATGCTCTCTCCCTGTAGTAGAGAAATCGCAGGTCTAGATGGTTAGCGTTCCACTAGAAATCAAGCTATATGGAAGACTGAAAGACATGCGTCGTACCACAGACTTTATAGAGGCATATGGCCTTTTCATCTGAAAACCACTGGCCGAGCGAGCGAGCGAGAGAGAGAGAGAGAGAGAGAGAGACAGAGAGAGAGAGAGAGAGAGAGAGTGAGAGAGAGAGAGAGCAAAAAGAAGAAGAAAAAGACTTTCATGTGTAGAACATTCTTGCATTAAATATTTAGCCACTTCAAACTAGCCTCTCCTCCCACAGAGCAAAAATAAACCCAACAATTATTGAAATCAATATTCATCTGTCACAGAGAAAATCCTTCTGCTGATCTTGAGATTAGCCCGCTGTATTCTTTACAGCAGAACATCGTGACTTCATCAATCGAATGATTTTATTGCCTGCTTACTGCAGAGTTCACCTCCAGCCTTGGCGTTCATGTAGCCGCCTGTTGTATCCCTCACTCAGTTAAACCCTGGCAATATTCCCACGTCTGCTGTTATGCTATGACCCATGCATAATCCGATTTCCCGCCATTGCCTGGGCTATCAGGCAGATCCGTCAAACACGAAAGGTCAGTTCCTGGTCATGATCTTCTCAACAGCAGCTCCTTAAACCTCGGCTCCTTCACCAGGCGTTGATCAGTTGGGATCCTGGACAAATCTGTTTCTTGTGATGGCTCAGACCTTGACTTCACCAGCCTTGACAAGCAGCACGCGATGTAACTGAGCACAAGCCGTGTCTTTAATCTGGCTTTCCCAGTGAATATCAATGAGCACGCGACAAATGAACCAGGGATAGAAAGTGAGAGACAGCAAGACAAAACTATACATGAATATTCATAACATATAAGCTTAGTTACGTGTCCTTTACAGGGCGTAGCAGAACCAACCTCGGCAATTTTTAGGTGTTTGTGATTTTACTAGGCAAATTTACGTTCAGTAGTTTGCCATTGCACTGAACGATCGGCTCTCGATTACCAATGTCGAAGTGCTACCAAACTGCCTAAAGCTGGAATCCAAGCGGGTATCTAGGAATTACGAAGTACGTTTGCACAAACACAGACAGAGACAGTAATAACTAACATATTGGTACTGATGTATTTAGACAAAGGACAACTCATGGAAAGCCAAATGTCTTCTGTATTTTTTCCTTCTTCGTACCTCTCAATGGAAAAGCCGTCAGCCAAATTACCAGAAAGCAACCACATATGGTTTTTAAATGGTTGGATTTTGAAGATTACATTCTCTTAAGAGCGTTCAAGTTTTTCCACAGCAACAGGTCACAAACATAAGTAAGAGAAATATTTTCGGACCGACTAACAGCTAACACAGAAGCACACACAGATGTAGACCACGTTTTATTTATGAAATAAAGATTGGGTGAAATATCTTGCGACTGCCATCACAATTCTAGAGACCGCTGTCTGTCCATGTTGGCTGAGGGACCTCGCTCTACAGGGGGTAATTTTCCAGTGTGACGCTAATTCTCGGTACTCATCCCTAACTATACGCATGGTAAAATGCAATGTTACTTTTCTCTGTTGCGCGTGTGACCGCTACTTAACAGACAGGCGTTTTGCAGCCATATGTGAGCGCATTTAATTGTCTTCATTATCTTGTGTATACGTCTTATTTTATTTCTGACCGAATTGACTGGACGCCTATGACTGTCCTGTTACTCCTACACAACTCATTATCTTGTTAATGTTCATTAAACGCCCATTTCTTGTCCCCTTATTTATTGTTTAAGGGATTCCTGTGATGATTCATTGCATTTCTGTGATGTTTCAAGGGATTTCTGTGATGTTTCAAGGGATTTCTGTGATGTTTCAAGGGATTTATGTGATGTTTCAAGGGATTTCTGTTATGTTTCATTGGATTTGTGTGATGTTTCAAGGAATTTCTGCGATGTTTCAAGGGATTTATGTGATGTTTCAAGAGATTTCTGAGATGTTTCAAGGGATTTATGTGATGTTTCAAGGGATTTCTGTGATGTTTTAAGGGATTTCTGTGATGTTTGAAGGAATTTCTGTGATGTTTCAGGGATTTCTATGATGTTTCATTGGATTTCTGTGATGTTTCATTGGATTTCTGTGACGTTTCAAGGGATTTCTGTGATGATTCATTGCATTTCTGTGATGTTTCAATGGATTAATGTGATGTTTCAAGGGATTTCTGTGATGTTTCAAGGAATTTATGTGATGTTTCAAGGGATTTCTGTGATGTTTCATTGGATTTGTGTGATTTTCAAGGGTTTCTGCGATGTTTCAAGGGATTTATGTGATGCTTCAAGGGATTCTGTGATGTTTCAAGGGATTTCGGTGATGTTTGAAAGAATTTCTGTGATGTTTCTAGGGATTTCTGTGATGTTTCAAGGGATTTCTGTGATGTTTAAAGGGATTTATGTGATGTTTCAAGGGATTTATGTGATGTTTCAAGGGATTTATGTGATGTTTTAAGGGATTTCTGTGATGATTCAAGGGATTTCTGTGATGTTTCAAGGGATTTATGTGATGTTTCAAGGAATTTCTGTGATGTTTCAAGGGATTTCTGTGATGTTTCATTGGATATTTGTGATGTTTCAAGGGATTTAAGTGATGATTCAAGGGATTTTTGTGATGTTTCATTGGATTTGATGTTTAATTGGATTTGTGTCGTTTCAAGGGATTTATGTGATGTTTCAAGGGATTTCTGTGACGTTTCAATGAATTTCTGAGATGTTTCAAGTGATTTCTGTGATGTTTCAAGAGATTTCTGTGATGTTTCAAGGGATTTCTGTGATGTTTCAAGGGATTTCTGTGATGTTTCAATGGATTACTGTGATGTTTCACGGGATTTCTGTGATGTTTCAAGGGATTTCTGTGATGTTTCAAGGGATTTCTGTGATGTTTCAAGGGATTTCTGTGATGTTTCAAGGGATTTCTGTGATGTTTCAAGGGATTTCTGTGATGTTTCAAAGGATTTCTGTGATGTTTCAAGGGATTTTTGTGATGTTTCAAGGGTTCCAGGACGCTCACAACAACTGACATTTCTGTAAATTACGTATGACCTAATAGAACTAACCAGCTATTTACCGTCACACTTGGTATCACACAAGAAGCTCTAGTTCAGTGACCACTGCCTTCATCTGCCCATCTGTACGCCAACACACACCTTCCACACTGGACTGGCTAACCAGTAAATTAATAACCAAAAACAAAACAAAATAACTACCCCGGAATGTAACGCCGCACTCATTCACACTGCGCCCTTTCTTCATTAGGACAACAACACACAGACAGTCACATATGAGGGGTCCATGGAGGTGTGGACAGTGTGAACCAGTTGTATGTGGTGAATGAATGGTTGAGACTTTCATCAGGTGCTTTTACTGTGACTGACTGATAAAGTGGTGAAGCAGTGTCCGTCTGTCCGTCTGTCTGTCCGTCCGTCCGTCCGTCCGTCTGTCTGTCTGTCTGTCTGTCTGTCTGTCTGTCTGTCTGTCTGTCTGTCTGTCTGTCTGTCTGTCTGTCCGTCTGTCCGTCTGTCCGTCCGTCCGTCCGTCCGTCCGTCCGTCCGTCCGTCCGTCCGTCCGTCCGTCCGTCCGCCCGTCTGTCTGTCTGTCCATCCGTCTGTCTGTCTGTCCATCCGTCTGTCTGTCTGTCTGTCTGTCCGTCCGTCTGTCTGTCTGTCTGTCTGTCTGTCTGTCTGTCTGTCTGTCTGTCTGTCTGTCTGTCTGTCTGTCTGTCTGTCTGTCTGTCTGTCTGTCTGTCTGTCTGTCTGTCTGTCTGTCTGTCTGTCTGTCTGTCTGTCTGTCTGTCCGTCTGTCTGTCTGTCTGTCTGTGCAATGAATCTGTTCTATTCACTCTGGCTCTAGACACGTGCAGACTTCTCTTTCACGCACCGACATCAACACCACGAGTAAAAATGTACGACAGTGAACGACGCAATGCGATTTCACGCTTTATTATCCACTCGCTGTTTCTTCAGCCGGTACATCGTGAAGGAACTGTCTATGTCACAAAGATTTACACAAATATACAAAGATACTGATTGACTTTACCTGCTGGCCGAAATTACAGCCGTCGTCACACATTAGCGACCAAACAAAAACGACTGGTTTCCAAGACGGTGAAGAAAGACAATCAGCTGGCAGACGAATTTCCGTCAGTCCTTTGTTGCCTAACCAGGTTTGAAACTACATTCAGACTCAGGCACATACTGGATACGACAAACACTACTCCGCTCTTCATGCACTCAGGTTCTTGGCCCAAACGAGACTGTTCACCTGCTCTTTCTCATGCATGATATAATCTTCTACCGCCCACATTATAATTACGCCCACATACGACTTTCTCATGTTCTCCGATTCACACAGGTTTCATTTAGCCAACATTTTCCCCGTGTATCTCGCCTTTGCACTCGTTACATTTAAATCTCATTCATATTTATTACCTGACGTCATTCTTTTTGTAGCATAACTTATCAAGGAGAAAATGATTCACTACGGTCTGTCTGTCTGTTTGCCCGTATGTCTGTCTGTATGTCTGTCTGTATGTCTGTCTGTCTGTCTGTATCTATGTATGTATGTGAATATGTATAGATAAATGAATGAATGGGTGGATTGAGGGATGGACGGATGGATAGATAGATGGATGGATGTACGTATCTGATGCAAGATGTCCATGCAGAAATTATAACAAGAATTATCATAAATAACTTGACCTATACCATTAAGCAGCCAATCTGAAAAACACTTACTGGCGCCAAAGATGTGGTTTCTGAGAAGGATGCAAAGAAAAGCATGCAAATAAAAGAAAAACAAACAGTTCAAGGAGAACATCCAATAACACATAGGACAGGACATTGGGAAGGTCTATGCTGGGGGAGAGCTTTGTCTACCACTTGACCGAGAAACACGACCAATATTCGCAACAGTGCAGACGATAATAAACTTTGTTAAATGAAATAACTATAGCTACATAACTAGCAGGCAATAACGCTGCAAGCAGTAATTATAACCTGGACTTGTGTCAGAATGAAGTCTTCTGAACAGCCGCTGAGATTTGCCTATGTGATTTTGAAGTAATGAAAAGACGTATGCACGTGACAACTCACTGTCATTGTCATATGTAATAATATATGTTCATGTTTTGAAGCGACACTAATTTTTATTAATAAACAATGTGATACTTCTCTTGTTGGAGTTGCCACTCGTGATGTTTTAAGACTATTTCATTTTACAGTCGATTGTTCACCTCTAACTAGAAGTCACACAATAACTCTCACCCCCGCCTCGACCGTTACTCTTGCTTGACTCTGGGAAGAATGATAATCACTGGAGAATTCCGCATTTAATACATGTAGGTATGTGTGTTTATGTGTAAATATCTGTAAGTGTCTGTGCATGTGTGTACGTGTATATGTGTGAATATACCTAAGATTATAATGTGTGTCTGTATGAGTGTCTGTCTACAAAGACAAAGAAATAGATTGACAGATATGTACGCAGAGAAACATGGATTTATGTAGGTGTAAGGACGGACAGACGGACAGAAGGATGGAATGACACACAGTTATAACGTGCTTGAGTATACGCTTGAGTGTAGGGGCATACATACCAACGGATAGACAGACTGACATTTAAACGAACGAATGGGCAGACAGGTAAGCAGACAAAGAGACATAAGGACAGCATAACATTGACATTAAAGACAGAATCATCCATATCCCTACAGAACCCGAAACGAAAAAAAAAAATACGTATCTAGGAGACATCAAGATGATTGGTAATATGAACCAACGCCAAGAAAGCTATCAATGCTCCCCCGAGGCTGAAGTTCA